ATCAGGAATAACTAATGCATCATTAATAAATCATGGCTGATTAGCTAATCTGTTGATTACAAACACATTTAGAGCTCAGATTCCCACCTGTGTTGGGCATCTCCAGCCCCCTCCTCCTGGCCCATCTCTACCCCAGACCTCTGCTGTCTGGAACATAATTTGAGACAAACAAAATAAATAAATTATGCCAAAACAAAAATTGCACCAGAAAGGTGGGGGAAAGCTGCATTCAACAGCAAATATGTTAGTTTCATGATGAAATTTGTGATGGGAAAATACTTATTAGGCCTGGGTGATTATTTATTCCCATAGGAAACAAAATGCTACCACTTATTTGTTAGGTTTGGACAAATGAACAGAATAATTGCCTTCTTAATGCAGCTCCAGGAATCCTACACACCTTTCACATAGGTGAATTATAAGCAGAAACACACAGCCTCCAACAATGATTAATTTTACTAGCCACAATCTCTCAGGGATTTGGTTTTCTTTTTCCACTTCCTCCAAAGCAGATCTGCTCCTTGTCTTCACTGCCATCAACTAATAAGGATACAGCTGAGACAAGGATATTTGCAGGGTCTGGTCAAAAAAGTCAAGATGGCAGCTACAATGGTTCAACTGAAGCTCCACCTCTTCCATATAAAAAACAGGTAATGTTTCAGTCAAGCATCAGGGCCACCATTTTTATTTTTCAGAACACATCTTATGATTTCACTTGAGCTAGACACTCAGAAGTCAAACAGTGCTCCATCTAGTTGACAAATGGGATGGAAAAAGACATCATTGAATCAGTTCTGTCCTCTAACATCTGCAGGTCCTGGAGTTAAAATAAATAATCCCTTCACTTCCAAATTGCACAAAAAGGAAATGAAATAAATGGCTAAAATACCATCCTGCAATGCAGCAGTGGTTAGAATGCGGCACTGCAGGCTACTTCTGCTCACTGCTGGCTGCCAGCAATTTGGCAGTTCGGGTCTCACCGGCTCATGGTTGACTCAGCCTTCCATCCTTCCAAGGTCAGTAAAATGAGGATCCAAATTGTTAAGGGCCATATGCTGACTCTGTAAACCGCTTAGAGTGGGCTGTAAAGCACTGTGAAGCAATATATAAGTGCTATTGCTATTGCTATCCTAGCTTTTCAAAACGTGATGGATGCATGTCTCTGGCCTTTTTGTGTTTTGCCAAAAATGGTAAGAAGTTATAACTGTGAAATATTTGGCTAGCTAGAGTATGTACACAATGAGACAAGTTTGCAAGTTAGTAAAGTTCAATTCTATGTACAGTCCTTGTCTTTAGTTGGTTTGACACAGTTCTTAACAGAACCCCACATTCCTCATGGAAAACATTGTTTGTTACTTCTAAGAATTGGAAAAACCAATCAAAGATACTCTAATTACTGGAAATATTATTCAGAGAGTCCCTCCCTCCTTTTCCAAAAAGAGAGCCATCATTCTGCATTTATGACACTTAGTACTGGCACATTAACTTCTGCAGGCTGGTCTTTCTCCCACCATGTGTGGTTTATATAATTTTGTTGAATGAATGAATGAATGAATGAATGAATGAATGAATGAATGAATACTCATTGAGGTATCCAGGATATAGCGGAAGTGCTTTAGAAGGGGTTGTAAATAACATGTGAAACATGATTAGTGCAAAACAATAAAATACAATTGTAAAGGCCATTACCTCCACTTAACTGGAGTAGCTTAAGTCCCCTCAACACCACTACCATCACTCCAGGAAAAAAAAAAGAAATGTTTAAAAAAGGGAGGGAGGGGAGAAATCAGAAACGAGCTCACTAAGAGAGAACAGCCTGCTCTAAGCAAAGGTAGTGGTTCCATCTAGACCAGGAGTCTCAAACACAATTTACCTGGGGGCCACTGGAGGCAGAGTCTGGGTGAGGCTGGCCCGCATAATATTATACTTTATATTATACTTTATATTTATATTATACACTAATATTATACTTTCATATCATGGTGGGGGCCACAGGATATCGTCCTGCGGGCTGCAATTGGCCCGTGGGCCGCGAGAATGAGACCTCTGATCTAGACTAAGGATGAGCTGGATAGAACTTTGGTCAATTTCACTCCTGCATATAGCACTTGCAGCAGTTTTATCTGTACGTGTGGTGTTTCTTGACCTCAGCATCTTTAAGATATGTGGACTTCAACTGCCAGAATTCCCCAGTCAGCCATGGGGGGAAACACTAAGCTAATTACTATACGGGCAACCTTTTTTTCCTCTTAGAATGCAGTACTGCGGGCTAATTCTGCTGACTGCCGGCTGGCAGCATTTCGGCAGTTCCATCCTGACTGCCTCAAGCTTGATTCAGCCTTCCCGTCCTTTCCAAGATCGGTAAAACGAGGACCCAGATTGTTGGGGGCAACATGCTGATTCTGGAAACTACTCAGAAAGGGCTGTAATTAAAACACTGTGAAGCGGTATATACCTGTATGTCTGTTCTATTGCTATTCTTGCTCTCCTTGTCATACAATACGAGTTTTTAAAAGTTCCTTTCTACTATTGGTTGATCAGCCAACAGTTCAACATATCTACCACATGATGGCAGCAAAGTGTTAGAGTTGCTCCTCTTTCTTACATGCAAGCCCTAAAGTCCTTCTAAAGTGGGTGGGCTAAGGAGACTTGTGGACTTCAACTCCCAGAATTCCTCAGAGAATGGCTGAGGAATTCTGGGTGGCTGAGGAATTCTGGGAGTTGAAGTCCACAAGTCTTAAAGTTGCCGAGGTTGGAGACCCCTGGGCTAAGGCAAACAGGTGTTTCGTGTAGTCTTGTCCTCTAAAAACAGTGGGCCATCCTCACATTGGGACAAAGAGAATGTGTGTGTGTTTTCCCCCCAGAAACAGAGCAAAGAAACACATTGTCATTGTGTCATTGACACAAATATGATAATTGAACTGAAGGCAAGCAAGCAGAGAATTCAAAGACAAAATGAACAAAATAGAACTACAAAACCAAACCAGGGAATACTCACAAACCAAGGGACAAACAAAGACTTCTGTATAACCAAAAAAAGTGCAATTTAACCAAATAATAAATATAAGGTTGAAATGCAGTATTCTCAAATCCTAACAATCTTGAAAAAGTTGCACCAATAGTTTGCTTGAGCCAACAGCAGATCATGAACAATCCAACCCATACAGTGTCCAGGTTACATTTAATAATCTTGGACAAAAATGATAGATAAGACCTGGACAAAAGTAGAACAAACTGAACAACACAACGAAGTATTGTTGTTGTTTTAATGAGAAAGAGAGGCATATTTCAGAATCTGGAAAAATACTTACTGGAAGAGAGTGATTTAATATAGTAGCCTACTAATGAGAACAGAGAAGGAAGAAAAGATGCGTAAAGGAAAGAAGACGAAAAGATCCAAACAGTTTGTACCATAAACAGCTTCTTGAACCCATTTTGCCTCCTGGTAAGATTTTATTTACAGCAGCTGAAACTCAAGAGCCCATGGAACAGTATCTGGTAACTTTCTGCCAGTGGGAAAACAGGCTGTTCACAAGTTTTACAGAGTTTTTACTATTGCAAAATGATTGTTCTTTGTGTGATTAGGTTACGCTGCAAGTGAGTCAGAAATAAATAGACTCAACTGCCAGTTCTGTCAAATTAATGGGATAACACAGATCTAGAGCTGCTTTTAAACTGGTTCATAGTCCATTCATGGAATTATCTTAGGCTGGTGGTAAGGCTTTGGTGCAGGTTAGCCAGCCTAAGTATTAAGAAATTAAACCACTGTTTATTATTCTATCTTAATAAGACAAACTTTCTTGGCTATGTCCAAGAAACTAAAGTGTATTCTAGATAGCCATAAAAAGTGATCTTTATATATAGTTCTTCTACGGGCTTGGCCAGACAAAGTGTGAAAGAAAGCTACCAGACATAGATATTTCTCTGACTTTGTTCAATAGTCCTTTTATTGAAACTTAGCTAGAAACTGTAAAGAATACTGTTAAATTTTCTTGAATCACATATAAGCAACTCCTCATTAGCACAGAAACACTATTTGTGTGAAATAATGCACATGAGTTCTCAGATATTTGCTAGTCTACCTTCATAATCAACTGGCATAGGATTTTTTATGTTTTGTTTTTCTTGACTATTTCTATCAGGAATAACTTCAGAATATTTTCACAGCCTTGATCAAATGATAACAAATCTATCTATCTTGACAAAAATATGGCATCCACATTGGGTACCAAAATGGGCAGCCACTTGTCTGGAATGGTATAGGACAGTGATGGCTAAAGATTTTGGGCTCCTGTGCCAAAACTTGTGTGCATGCTGGCACTCACACACTCACGCGCTCACGTGCCAGCACCCAGAAGGCAAGCCACACACATCCCACACCCCCTGCGCATGCACGCGCAATCCCCACCACCACCGCTTCCTTACCTGCACTGTGCCTACAGCTGATTTTCAGCTGGTTTGAAGTCTTTTTCGGCCTCCCAGAGGCTTGAAAAAAGCCTCTGCAAGCTTTGCAGGACGAATAATAGGCCCGTTTCATCACTTCCGGTATTACAGGAAGTGATGAAATGGGCCTATTATTTGGTTATTATCAAGGTTGACTCAGCCTTCCAACCTTCTGAGGTTGTATGAAGACCCAGATTGTTGGGGGAAATATGCAAATAATGCTTCTACATTTTAAACTGCCCAGAGAGTAAAGTTCTATGGGGCAGTGTATATATAAGCCTAAACAATATTGCTTAAGGGATTTGAATTGCAATTGAGAAGACCCGAGTTCCAGTCCTCCCTTGGGCACAAAAGCCAAATGGGTGACTTTGGATCAGCCATTTTCTCTTGGCCCTAAGAAGCTAATGGCAACCTACTTCTGAAAATGTGGCCAGGAAAACTTGTCCATGTATCAGGATCAAGACTGACTTGAACGCCCAACCATAATATTCTATGCAAAACACAAATCCGTATCAGCAGTGGGTCCAAAGAAACGGAAGCACGTAATTATTGAGCGCTTTTAATTGTTTTTCAGAGAGACAAAAAACCCTCTAACACAAAGCATGCTTGTCCCCCGATGTCTACTCTTCCATCTTGCCGGAGCAGAATCTTCAACTCTCCCCCACGACTGGAGCACTGAAATGCTAACCAATGACAGAATTAGTTAGGTAGGCAGGAAATATGCTTCTCTCTCTATCCAAATTAACAATGCAGACTTGCTGATGACTGCTGAAGAGCAGATAGATAAGAGAATTGAACAAAATTACCTACAATGCAAACACAGGCCAGACTGGAATAAAATTCAGGGGTCTCCAATCTTGGCCACTTTAAGCCTGGAGGACTTCAACTCCCAGAATTCCCCAGCCAGCTGGTTGAGGAATTCTGGGAGTTGAAGTCCTCCAGGTTAAAGTGGCCAAGGTTGGAGACCCCCTGGAATAGATGAAATATATAAGCAACATACAAGAAGTCCTCAATGTGCGACCCCAACTGAGCCCAAAATTTCTGTTGCTAAGAGAGATAGTTGTTAAATGAGTGTTGACCCTTTTATTCCCTTTCTTGCCCAGTTGTTAAGTGGATCACTGCAGTTATTAAATTAGTGAACACACAATTGTAAAGTGATCCGGCTTCCCCCTTGACTTTGCTTCTCAAAAGGTCTCAAAAAGTGATCACATGACCTTAGGACATGGCAACCGTCATAAACAGGAATCAGTTACCACGCATAAAATTTTTGATCACGTGACCATGGAGATGCTGCAGTGGTCATATGTGCAAAAAATGTTTTTTATAACGTTGAACGGTCACTAAACAAATGTTTAAGTTGAGGACTACCTATGGCCACTGATTTAAGTGCCAATGATTTGCCATAATCCTTAACTTTAGAATTAAAGCTACAGTAATTTCATTGGGTGGGCAAACTAGAAGAAAAGATTATGCCTGAATTGTTGTTTTCGTTTTTGTTTTAAATCTTGATTAACTTTGGCTAAATTTGTACCAATTGTACAGTATCAGGGCCAAAGTGGTTCTGACCAGTTCTGGAGAATCAGTAGTGGAAATTTTGAGTAGTTTGGAGAACCGGCAAATACCACCTCTGACTGGCCCCCATCTATTCTCTGCCTCCCAAGTCCCAGCTGATCAGCTGGGTCTTCTTTTGTTGCCCTGCAGAGGGGAACGGAGCTGGAAAGCAGGTTAGTGGGGTGGGGAGGGAATGGGGATTTTGCAGTAACCTTCCCCTGCCAAGCCCACAGAACTGGTAGTAAAAAAAATTTGAATCCCACCACTGATCAGGGCTACCCAATGAAACAACCAGGATCCTTGTTTGAGTTCCAGCGTTCAGGAGGACATTGCAAATAAAATTGTGGCAGATTATACTCAGAGACCTAAAAAGGGAAACTGTAAAATCATGGGAATTCCTACCGCATAGTTTGTCTTTCCCCAGTTGCTCTGACCAGTAGCTGCTTAGTACAGCATGGGCAGACCCTTAAGGAAACATAAGATGTAATAGCTGTGATAACAATGTTATAGCAGATCAGCATTCAAAGCACTTTACAATATCTTAACTTTAATAGTAATTATTGCAAGAGTGTATGCTACTGTGGTTTCTGAAATAAATTTCCTATCAGGGGTTTTCAAGTCAATGTATAGAACGCGAAAGATGTGTGTTTGTGTTTATTTTCACAGTCATAATGTACACCGAAGATGGTATTTAATTTCATTGTACAGGGTGCAATGACAACAAAGTAAGTAAAATAAACTAGCAAACAAAAGACATACAATGGAAATGTTCTCTCAATTGTTTGCTGTATTTCTGAATGGTTAGTCTCCCATTCTGTGTTGTAATCCCACCATTCTCAATGGATCAAATCTGTTTCAAGGACACTTTCATGAATATGTGTTGGGTTATAACAGCATCATCCCTGACCAGGTAGACTTTTAATCTAACACTTTCAGAAGGCACCAGGCTGTTAAAGGCTACAAGACACATCAGTAGTATTGCCAATTTTCTGATACTCATTTTAAGAATTCCCAGACACCCACTTATTCATCAACTGTTCTGACCCAGGCTTTGTCAAACTTAATGAAACACAAACTTATTTTAAAAGCAAAACCTATTTTAATGCAATGCTGGGAATTACTTGCATTCTCTGCCAGAACTAATTATAAACAGTTCCCCCAGATAAGAGCACGCCTTTCAGTGCTGTAGGATGCTGCCAAAAAACAGAAGTCCAATTAATTATAACATAAACCAACCAAAGTCCCAGAAAAAAACCGACCAAAATACACAGAGCTTCAGAATCTATCGAACTACTTTGCTTCCTGCAAAGCGTTCGTCATTGAGGTCTAACGTTTATCCCTTACGGGAGGGGCAAATCACCTCCCAGCCTTACTCCCGAGTCGCCCCTTCTGCTTCAGCTGTTCTTGCCTTCTAGCAGCTCTGTGCACATGCTCACTGTGGAACAGGCTCCCCTGGGTCCTCTGCCTTGCTGCTGCCAGACTCCAAAGGCTCCAAAGGCAGCACCCCACTCCTAGATGGTCCTGGCCCCATCCCTGCATCAGACGCAAGACCCTCATCCAAGTCCTCACCTGACTCCCTGACTGGTCCCCTTTCATCCTCACTGTCGAATACCTCGGCCGTCTGCACTAGCTGCCGGCGAACCACAACATAGACTAAGCACTAGAGTTGCGCAATGCTTCAGATTCAGTTCCAAAATTGTGCTTTGGATGCCTGCAGCCCTCTCTCTGCAATTCATTAAAACTGCCATGTCTCTCTCCAGGATCGTGTGAATGCTCCACAGGGTACCATCATGGAAAACACATGATGGCTTTAAACAGTTGCAGGCAGGGGTTACATTCAAACTTCTGTGGGCTCCAAAATGCTTTTTCTGCATTATTCCCAAACTGCTGCACAACCTTACCATGTACATAGCAAAGAGGGGGGGAATCATATTACCTCAAAAATATGTCATCAAACACAGTGGCCCCCAACCTTTTTTGTACCACGGACCGGTACAAAATGTACAAAATGATCCACGGACCGGTACCGGCATCAGCACGCACGACCAAGGCAAGGCGAGCCGAGCGACCGGCCAGCCAGCCGTCCCCCGCTTCTCCCCGCCACCTTCAACTCCTCCTTTGTACCTTCTCGCGATCAATGGGCTTTTCGGGCTCTTTCTTAATCTCCTCCTGAGTAACGCGAGACTACACCGCCATCGGGACGGCTCTTCGTTCAAAGCCGCCCCCCCCCCTTCGATGAAACTAAGCACCCAAATGCCGCTTTCCAACCGACGTCCGACAAGCTCACCCGGAAGCACTTTCTCAAGCGCAGTCGAAACAAGATGGCGGCGCCCAAGCAAAATAGGCAGCCTGGTACAAAATGATCCACGGACCGGTACCGGTCCGGGGCCCGGTGGTTGGGGACCCCTGATCAAACAGTCCTAAGGCACCTTAACAATAACAGTGTAATTATCTAATAATATCTAATAAAAATAGGAAAAGCTTTCCATACACAAACTTACCTGTGACAGGATCTTCAGAAATGCCATTCCATGGTGCAAAATAACGAGAGTAAAAATCATAGCTGCCATGATTTTTATGATGATCTCCTTTAACTGTGATTATTACTCCTTTTATTTTTCCGGTCTTGTCGGCCAGCAAAAGACGTTGGGGATCCACTTTTAATTTCTCTAGATCATACCTTGGTAATAAACATTCACCATTAAGGACTCAAAACAGATGTCTATACTCTTGAAAATGCAAAACTAAAAATACCAATCAGAACGATGAACTGAAGAATATTGAATTTTAATTACTATAATACCAATGGTCACTGTAAGCTTTAGCTCTGACTCTTGGCCCATTTTACATGCAAAATATAGATCTGAAACCAAAATATTAAGCGTAGAAGAAAAGAAGGCCAGTAATAAGAAGATTGTCCAAAACAGGATTCCCCAGTGTGGTATCCATTAAATCAGGGGTGTCCAATGACTTGTGGACTTGTAAACTTCAACTCCTTGTGAACTTGAAGACTTGTGAATTTCAACTCCTAGAATTGGCTGGGGAATTCTGGGAATTGAAGTCCACAAGTCTGCAAGTTGCCAAAGTTGGGTACCCCTGCCCTAAATGGACTAGGAATCCCCAGAAAGTAGAATTCTCCACCAGTTGAGAAGGACCAGGTATAGTCCAGACATCTGGAGGGCCTCAAGCTGGAGCAAGGTGAGCAAAGCAAAAATTAACAGAGAGGTAAAAGGAATGTCCTTTCCCATAGCTTGTGCAAAATCAAAGAAATGAAGGAAATCAACTAAGGAAGGGAGATGACGAGACTGCATAAACTTTACAGCAATCATTTAAAGAAATGTGCAGTTGAAATGTACATACCTTTCATACACCTCACTGAGACAGATAAGTAGCTTTTTTGTGTCAGGAGAATAACGGACCTCTTGAATGTTCATATCCCCCACTGCTGCCTAGTGATAAAATGGGACAGAGTTAGCCAAAGAGAGCTACTATATTTTTCTCATGTCCACATAGCAAGCTTTTCTCCATTAGCTTTTTACTACACCTGGCAACACCAGTTTTTTAAAATAAATTTTTATTGTGTTTTCCACCAATACAGATCAAATCATATTCACATTTTCAACAGCGTTTTGACATCTACAAGTATTATTATCTTATAAGCCCTAATATAATTAATATAATATAATTAATCCACCAATAACTTATCTTCCAGCTACAGTTAGTTCTATCTTATATACTTATATACTTTACATATCTACAAATCTTTTTCTTAAGGTCTCTTACAGTTAATCTCCTCTTCTTATTTCTTATATCTATTCTATAGATATAGAATGGGTAATTCATACCATTTGTGCCAGATTGAATAGTACTCGGAGTCCTCCTTCTCTTTCATTTTTAACGTGAGATGTCCATTTCCACATATTCCATTATTTTTTGCGGGACTAAGTCCTCTTTAGGAGTGTTGGGGCTTTTCCACATTTGTGCGAAAACTATCCTGGCTGCTATTAGAACATGTAAGATAATATATTTTATCTTTTTTGGATATTGATCTTTAATTATTCCTAATAGGAAGAGTTCTGGTTTAGCTTCAATTTGGTATCCTGTAATTTCCTGCAACCAATTTTTAATTTTAGTTCAATAGGCCCTGGCCTCGGGGCATAACCACCACATATGATAGAAAGTACCATCAACTTGTTGACACTTCCAACATTTTGGGCTTGTATTAGGGTATATCTTAGCCAATCTTATTGGAGCTAGATGCCACCAGTAAAACATTTTATATAAATTTTCTTTATATGTCGAAGATGTTGTTAATTTATAGTTTGTGCTCCATAATTTTTCCCATTCTTCTGAATCTATATTATATCCGAAATTCCACGCCCATGCTTGGCAACACCAGTTTTATCCCTGTTCCCTGAAGTCTGGACTTAACTCCAGTCCATGATTTAAGCTCTTTGCTAAACCTCCAACGGTCACCAATCAGAGACTCCCCAAGAACGTCAGGAGACTTTTTAATGCCAGCAGTAACAGAATAACAAAGCTGGAAGACTCTTGAGGTCTTCTAGTCCAACCCCCTGCTAAGGCAGGAAATACCACTTCAGACAAATGGTTGTCCATTCTCTTCTTAAAAGCCTCCAGTGTTGGAGCATTTACAACTTCTGAGAGCAAGTTGATCCACTGGTTAAGTGTTTTCGTTGTACGGAAATGTCTCCTTTGTCCTAGGTTGGTTCTCTCCTTGATTATTTTCTATCCACCTCTTCTTCTTCTGCCTTCAGGTGTTTTGTAGAATAGATTGACCCCCTCTTGTTTGTGGCAGCCCCTTAAATATTGGAACACTCACAACACGTCAACCCTAGTCCTTAGAACCGAATTCGGGGATATTTGTAGAGCATGTTTCAAAAGGCAAGATGGCGTTGAGATGATGTGATCAAGGCTTTATCTTGTTTTTTGTGTGTGTGGCATATGTATAGAGATACAATTGCCTTTTGGATATATCCTGCAGACACCCTTGGCTGACTTCTATTGCTAAGGAGAAAGGTTCCATGTAGAATTTCTATTCACTGTTTTATTAAAAGTGAAGTGCACTTTCTGGAATGTTACCCGATGCATTAAAAAGGGAGATCAATCACAGCCATAATATTTAAATTAATAGTATCATCCGCATGCAATACAAAAGGGTTGGGATTTAGATGCAATTCCTTACCCATCATCTTACAGCTTTTGAGGCTGAATTCAGATTTAGATTAGCTGTTTAATATTTAATTTCTCACTTCATTTGTAGCATACTTAGACGTTGTTTTCATTTAGCTTGGGGATTAAATTTCACAGGTAGGAAGGATTTGACAGTGAGAAAACCTAAGGAAGGGTGGTAAATACAATGGAGGGTGGGGAAGCTGTGTAAATTACCTTTACCAACTCTTCTACTTCCTGGAAATCCTAGATTTAAAAAAATGAAAGTAATATGAAAATCATGTGTGCCTTTTACTTTTCAAAGAAATTTTCAAAAGGTACCAAGTAAAGCTAACCTGTGGATAAGTGAAGTAAAGTGGCAAATCCAAGACAATCTCATCTCCTGCTTGCCTGGCCTTTAATTCTCCACTAAGAGTTATGAAAGTGAGGGTGGGATTCATATTTTCTGTTTTTAAAATCAGAAATGTATAACTATCAAGATGGTTAAAAAAACATGGATTGGGTCAAACTACGAACGGTCAAATAGCACTTACTCCTATGGAATAATACAGCAGCAGATGCAAGCGTAGCATGGCCACACAGAGGGACTTCATTTGTAGGTGTAAACCATCTTAATCCAAAACAGGAACCTGAAAGAGGATGCTCATGAATCACTCTTATTTGAAATGACATTTCAACAGCAGAATTTTTTTAAAAAAGGAAGCAAAATGGTACAAGGAACAGAAAACTCAAATGTTTTTTTTTTAAAAGCAGAAAAATACAATGAAGAAAATTAAAGACTGGCTTCAAGGTCATTTCTTTGGGGACGACATTCTGAAAAAGCATCATATATTTGAAAAATGCCTCTAAAGATGATCAGATAATCCACAAGGTACACACAGGAAAAGATCGCCGCCGCCCCCCACAAGCGACCTATCCTAAGCTATTTAAGAGATCCAGAGTTAATTTTATAGACTTTAATTGGGCTGTATAAAAAGACATTCTACACTAATGGAATAGCTACCTTTTAAAAATCAAATTTATACACTGCCCATCTCACCTATGTGGCTCTGAGTGGTTTGTAACATGACAGGAGCCAGTCTCTGTGGAAAACCACAAGTTTTGTGGGGGAGGGGTCTTTGGGGCCAGGTTGGGTTTTGCATAAGTCATTGTTTGATATCTAGAGCATTGCCCTGAAATCTCCCACTGAATCCTATAATCGGTATAGTTTTCCTGTATAGTTTAATATCCATATGAATCTGCGGGGAGGGGGGGGCGGTCATTTGGAGTTTTGTAGTAAGGGTGCAGTGAATCTTGTATTTCTTACCACCCAACACCAAGGAAACAACCAGTATCCTTCAAGACTGCCATATCTCAAAAATGGGCAGGATGAGGGAGAACAAGCTGAAGTTAAGCCTAAATAAGGGGGAGGTTCTGGTGATGTGGAGAAAACTAAAAGAATTATTTGATTAGGGTTCTCACACACAGCAAAAAAAGAGTAAATTTGCAGTTTCAGAGGGGTCTATTGACTGAATCTGCAGGTGGAAGGAGCATGTTGTACAATATGGTGAACGGGCCAGCTGCTGAGTAGATTTGGAGACCATCTGCCTGGATTACCACAGCATTCTCTCCAATGAACAACCCTTGAAAACTATGCAGAATTTCCAACCGGTGCAAACTGCAGTGGCCAGGCGGTTATCTAGTCCGAGGAACAGGAGTCATGTAATGTCTGGATGGAAAGGACTGACTTGGTCATCCAGAGAATCACTTCTCCTGCCGAGTTAATTATGTCAATAGCAAAGGCATTTCCAAGAGATCCTCCCTCTGCCTGTAACTTCTCTACATGGTATACGGGGGGAAAAAGCCCCCTCCCATGAGACCCTCCATAGAGACATGCATTTGAAGCTCAGTATTTAGGAAAATAGCAAAAATGCATTTCTTCCACAGCTTTAAACTATGCGTTAATTTTAATGATATTGAATAAAATATTAAATAAAAATAAATAAAATTGATACTTAGATTTCAGTTTTGATTTGTTTTATTTTGATTTGAATGTATTGATTGTACTCTTTTAAATGCTCCATTTTAATTATGGCAATTATTATTAATTATTAAATATTATTAATTACCCTCCCATACTACCACCTCTTACAATACTAGACAACACAGTATCAACAGTAGAGACCTTCACATTTCTAGGTTCTATCATATCACAAGACCTAAAATGGACACCTAACATCAAAAACATCATCAAAAAAAGCACAACAAAGAATGTTCTTTCTGCGCCAACTCAGAAAGCTCAAACTGCCCAAGGAGCTGCTGATCCAGTTGTACAGAGGAATTATTGAGTCTGTCATCTGCACCTCTATAACTGTCTGGTTTGGTTCTGCAACCCAGCAGGACAGACACAGACTTCAGAGGATAATTAGGACTGCAGAAAAAACAATTACTACCCACCTGCCTTCAATCAACGACCTGTATACTGCACAAGTCAAAAAGAGGGCTGTGAAAATATTTACAGATCCCTCACATCCCAGACACAAACTGTTTCAATTCCTTCTCTCAAAACAATGCTATAGAGCACTGCACACCAGAACTAGACACAAGAACAGTTTTTTCCCCGAAAGCCATCACTCTGCTAAACAAATAATTCCCTCAACACTGTCCAACTATTTCCAAAGTGTACACTACTACTACTGTTAATCTTCTCATCACTCTTTATCACCCATCCTCCCCCACTTGTGATTGTAGGACTGTAACTTTGTCGCTTGTATCCTTACGATTTATATTGACTATTTCCTAGTATGATTTGATTGTTGATTGTACCCTATGACTATCATTAAGTGTTGTACACTATGATTCTTGATTCTTAACGAATGTACCTTTTCTTTATGTATACTGAGAGCATTTGCACCAAGACAAATTCTTTGTGTGTCCAATCACGCTTGGCCAATAAAGTATTCTATTCTATTCTATTCTATTCTATTCTATTCTATTCTATTCTATTCTATTCTATTCTAT